GGTGGTTTTCCATAAAGCTGCTCTGTTTTCTGGAATGGTGTGGGCTCAGGGTTTGTTCCCAGCCTGAGCRCAGCCACGGGGTTTTTCCAGCTCTAGTAACTCCTTGGATCCYGGTTTTTCCTCYGAAAGRAAAGCTCTGCCTCCCCTCATCCTGSCCKTGGGGGATTTATCCTGATGGAAAATGCACCCTCTGGTTTGCAGGGATGGGTTTGGATCCCAGAATTCCCCTTGGACTGGGGCCAACCTTTGACCTGCACGCTCCATCTCCCATTTCCTTCCCTTGAGTTTTCCAGGATAAATCAGAGCATTCCATTGGAGTCCCTTGGGTGTCTCCCCAAAATCCAGCATTCCATGGGGATAAAAGGAGTTTTCCTGAGGATAAAGGGAATTTCCCTGAGGATAAATTGAATTTCCCTAAGGATAAAGGGAATTTCTCTGTGCAGCCACAGGTGAATGCTGCTCTTCCTCTTCCTCATGTAAGGATAAAGGGAATTTTCCTGAGGATCAAGGGAATTTCCCTGAGGATAAAGGGAATTTCTCTGTGCAGCCACAGGTGGATGCCGCTCTTCCCCTTCCTCATGTGAGGATAAATTGAATTTCCCTGAGGATAAAGGGAATTTTCCTAAGGATAAAGGGAATTTCTCTGTGCAGCCACAGGTGGATGCTGCTCTTCCCCTTCGTTACATGAGGATAAAAGGAATTTTCCTGAGGATAAAGGGAATTTCCCTCAGGATTAAGGGAATTTCTCTGAGCAGCCACAGTTGGATGCTGCTCTTCTTCTTCCTCTTCCCCTTCCTCATGTGAGGATAAATTGAATTTCCCCGAGGATAAAGGGAATTTTCTTAAGCAGCCACAGGTGGATGCTGCTGTTGCCCTTCCTCAGGTGCTGGAGCCCAGGATAATCCTGGGATTATCCCAGGATTGCAGATCCCGATATTGGCCCAGCTCTGGAGCACTGGGGTTCCTCCTGGTTTAATTCCTCCACCCCAAAAGGCTCCTGGTTTGGGGATAAATGGGACAATCTGGGGTAAATGGGGTGGTTTTGGGGCTGACCCAGGGGTGCTGGCTGTTTGCAGGTGTGTGGGGAGAAGCAGCGCTTTGAGAAGCTCATGGAGCACTTCAGGAACGAGGACAACAACATCGACTTCATGGTGAGCAGCAATTCCAGCCCCAATTCCAGC